TGCGACGCCGAACGTGCTTACGTTTGTTTGTTTAAAGGCAGTAAAATGGTTAGGTTTTACTGTGCAGCATACAAAAGAGATAAAAGGAGTGCTTAGATTACTACTTCTATTGGGAAAGATGATAAAATTGGGATGTTATAGCCGAATATGCCAGAAAATTCAATCTGACTGCGCATATATAGGCAGTTACAATTGATAATGTGGCTTGAGAGAAGTTAAAACCTGGCAAAAATTACCATCTTGCTATTTTAGGAGATGAAGCTTGGAGTTGCAACAATACTTAAATTTAGAAGACACTTATGCACACATGTATGTTTGTACATAAGTTTATTGGGACTAAGCGAAAGTAGAAGATCTAGGTTTAACATTAAGGATTAGAATTTCCGGCTGCGAGTGTAAGATGTTAAAATAAAGCTGAAAACTGTTTTAGTAAACAAAATTACATTTTAAGGAAACTTTGTCTATGATTTTTAATTTCACTCACCTCAATAGCGATTTCGTCCGTTCCTTACGCCGAATCCAAGTTTTAAAGACACCATCTATTCAACGCAACATTTCTAAGAAATAGTCACAATTGATTTAAATTTTGGGAAGCAACTCCAGTAGCATAAACTTATTGTTTTTTTTATTAATAAAGTGCCAAGACGACGCGAACGCTGCTGTTGAACTCAATTTACGCTTTTCTCACTGCGGCCACCAGCGTTCCAACGCAATGCTATGCAATACATATAAAAACACATACAACAACCACAAAGCAGCAAATAATAGCAAATTACAATCAATGCTTCCACTTGTTTACGTTACTAATTCGGGGCCGGAAGTTGATAGAATTCTTTACAAAGACTTGATTTACTACTAACTACCTGTTCAAGTAGATATCAGTGCATTTTACATTGCCAACTAGACAAATTCCAATTGGCATGCAATGTGGTTTCCAATTAGCTAGTCAATTAGCTAGCCTTGCGCCACTAAACGCACAGTTCACCTGCATTTGTTACCTGACTGGTCACCAGGTTTTTTGCATACTTTCATACGTACACACCTTTCTTGCAAAACACACACAATCTTCCAAAGCTCTTTCACAAACCACATTAACTAATGCTCCTTACAACACAATTAACACTCTGCGAAGAGCTAATAGTTTCGATTCTTTTTATTTCCGAATACATACACCTGTATAATAGAATAAACACTTTTTTATCAAAAAAAATTCTTTATTTTTTGCAACAATTGGATATTTATAATCCGTCCGAATTTCTCCACCGATAACTTCTCGTTTTCATCAAATGACTGACAGTTGATAAATGTCACTGGCGAATTTGTAGTGTTGCCAGCTCTAGCGTACAAGGAAATGTTTTGGAAAAGAAACAGCACGATTGCATGACGATTGAGCTATGAAGCGACGCAGGGTGGGCGTAAATATAATAAAAAATTTCTTATCATTTAAATGAAAGAAAATTGTGATCATATTACTTAAAAAACGATTGATTTTATTTATTTTACATATTCATACATATTCATACATATTCTCTACAAATATATGCTGCGTATACAAAACTGTTTGCGTGCTTCAATACTTTTTTGCCCTACTGTGTACCTTGTGCTTTATTGCCATAGGGTGTGCTAATGGATTTATTTCCATTGCGATTACAAAAATAAATTATATCTATTCAGAAGCACCCTTTGAAATTTCATTAGTTTTTTGTACGTTTTTCAATTTCGCCTTCTTTATTAAAGAACTCGCACACAATTTCAATAAAGGAATCAATATAAAAATAAATGAATGGAAACCTGAATAATTTCTTTATAAAACTTTCTTCTTAACAGCATTCCCGCGCATAGCGTATACCGCAGACCCATATTGGCGTGCGCTTTTCAACACTGCTAAAGACAAGGAAACGGAAATTGGCTTTGAAGGAACCTAAAGTGAAAAGGTTTAGTGAACTTTTGCTACACCGGCGCAATTGTTCCAAGCAAGAATAATGAGCGCGAGTTCTCTACGTAACCGGAACGACACAGATTTATATTTGGCCAAGGACTGTCACTCCAGCAACACTCCCCAAAAAGTCTTTGGGGAGCTTGTATTCTGCTACAACAACAACAACAACAACAACAACAACAACAACAACAACAACAAAGCGCGAGTTGTTAACGACAGCCAACATACTTACAACTGGATGCAATAGCCGAAGAATGCATATATTTTCTCATAAATGAGCTACCTTGTGATAACTTCAGAGATATTCTGCCTTATCCTGAGTTTCGCCTGAAAAAAAAAATTCACCCGAAAATTCGTCATCCACCGATAGTAAAACCATGGAAACCAAAAGTGAAAAGTGAACCGGTGAATGGGGTAATCAAATTTGGTGTAGAACATTTTCGTAAGGTCAGCTTCTTGATTTCATGTAAATTACGTCTAAATACTTTTAATTTAAAGGTAATGTTAGCCGTCATCGATTCGCCACTTCTCGCTCGCTATGTTTGAGTTCCGGTCGCTTAAAGAAGAATTTTGCATGCGAAAGCAACAACAAAGTTAGCTAGCACGGATAGACGATAGCGAGCTTGTTTGTATCTCATTGAGTTCGTTCGTTTCGCGACTCGCTAATTGTTGGCGAATCGATGACGGCTAAAAAGAGTTTCTCAAGCTTAGCATCTGCGTACTAAGGGCCGGTTTTTCAGTGCCAGTTTAAACTTAGGTTAAGTAAACTGAGTTTAAATTGAACAGCTGGCTGTCATATGATTGGCTGATCTTAGTTTAAACCAGCCAGATCGGGCGTTTAAACTTAAACTGGTCCTAAGAGAACTTATAGAGCTCGACGAATGCTGCCAGAAGCAACACATTAAAATTATACATATTGGCTGCGTTTCTTTATACATTCCGGATAATCCCGTTTCACAGCCGGAAAACAAAAAAGTTTATTCCAAACGTTCAGAATGAATAACGAAATGCAGCCATAAGTATTCGTGAATCATAAAATTGCCCAGCCAGCAAAATCATCATAACCGAGCTCGCAACTGGACATTTTCTAGAAGAAAAACCGCCTAAAAAGTCGTTTATGATAGCGGTTTACGATTCGTTTTCGAGTACTTTTTCGCTTGAAATTGTCGGGCGCCTACGAACAGTCGTAAACGGATGAAAAAAGCATACGTATGCGAATATTATATATGATAAAATATTGTGGTTCAAGAAAACTTTCCATCAGAATGACATTTTTTTCTTTTGCTGCCAAATTACTACAAGCTTCTTTCTTTCACGTTTTTTGTTTTATCGTTTACGAGGCTTACTCTAACTTTTCGCCGATCGGGAATCCCTCGTAAAACATAATGTTCGTAAAATATACGTTTTCTTGCTGGCTGGGTGTTTTTGCGTCAAGTGACCACTATTCTGTATTTTGTTTACATATTTGAATTTAAATTTTTTCAGTTTGTGAAAATTTTTGAGCTATAGGAAATACATAAGCACCGTTGATGCTGAAATTGACGGTGACGGTGCCGGTGTCGCTGGGATATGTAATAATTTTTATTGAAGTTTTTAAATTTTTTATGAAAATGTGGTTAGTTCAACAACAGAAAAAAAAAATAAAAAAATGATTTCTAAACTTTGTGCAAAACTCGGTGTACGGTCAAACTAATTTAATTTATTTATTAATTTAATTTATTTTATTTTTTTTTGTATGGAAGAAACTGCGTGAAAAAATCGCCAAAAATCAACGGTAAGTATTAGTTACCTTAGACTTGCACTTTATTATACAAAATTTATTGGGCTACAAAACTACATACTCCAAGAAACCTTAAAAATCTGATTAAGTTGAAAATTTGCTTGAAAATGCCTTGATTTTTTTTCTGAATTTGCCACAAAGTTAAGAAGTCATATTTTTATGTTTTATTATAAAAAAATAACGGGCAAAAATTAAAACAAAAATTGTGGCAAATATTGTAAAGGCAGTGTCACACGATTGGGCATTTGCAAATACATATGTATTTTTCTTTATTCCAATAGAAGTTCGCTGTATTGTACCAATCGTGGGACTACAAAAAAATTGGTCCCATTTTTTTATTTATTTTGTACCAATAACCCAATAAAAGAAATGTACAAATGTGCATAGATCTACCAATCATGTGACACTGCCCTAAAAATTCTCTGTGCAAATAGTTTTTTCCGGCAGTGTAGGTAATTTAAATAATTCGTAAGCGAAGGAGGTGAGACGAATGTACTTTTCCCCTCTCTTCTCACCTCCTTCGCCAACAAACCGAGAAGACTTTAAAGCAAGACTTGACGTGTCTGAAACGGGTCTAACAGCTTTGCTTTGGCACGCAAGCAAATTTGCGGTGTTGTGCACAATGATCAACTTCTGGCTATCGGCAATATGATAGACAGTTAAGCAATACTAGATCTTGTCGACGATATGATTTTTTGCAAAATCTATGGCACACGACGAGTTTGATAGTCAAATTACAACAAATAGCTAATTACTCGAGATGCGGAGATAGAAAAGAAAATAGGTGAGAACAAAGTCGGAAACTTACTGCGGATGTTAGTCAAAGCTAATAAAACATAAAAAGAATATTTGAAAAGTATAAAAAAACGGCCTTACTTAACATATGAACATAAATTGAACCTATACGAATGAATGTGTGCTGCACAAAAATATGAAGTTTTTAAAGCGTTTAAAGTACACTTTTTTTTTGTAGTGATGAGCGGGAATAGACAACTCTAGGAGGCCTTTGACCTACTTTACTTGTGTGTATGCCTACTTTAGACCTTACGCAATTTTAATTATTATTTTACTACTAGGAAATCAGTTATGTACTAATTTACATTTAATTATAAATTGATATTTCAATGTAAATGTATGTAGGTATGTATGTATTCCTATATAATTGCTTGCAAAGTGATAATTGCACCAGAGTTTATAGATATTCGCACTTCCTGCGCAAATAGCAAACAAAGTGCATATCCGTTTACGTTTAATGGATGAACTCTCATCCACCAGTAACTTTAACTTTAGTAGTGTTTACGATTTTATGCGATCAAGTCGTTACTTTCGGCGTGCAGAAGTCAAAGGCGGTCATCTATGATTGAAAACGATCAAAAACTTTAAACTAAATATTATCGACTGGGAAATTTTCTTACAGAAATAACAGAACAGAATGAACGCGCTTAAGCAATTGATTATGATATTTGTGATATGTGTTTATTTATTTTGCTTTTACTTGTCACCATATTTTATATACTGGTATACTGCAAAAGCAATTGTAAGTACTGATACTTAATAAAAAAGTGACAGTGTTGAGGTAAATTAAAACTTATTAATTCAAATTCGTTTAGCTCTTCGGCGGTTTAATTGTTAAAACTGTGCTCATTAGCTATGTCATTTACATTTTGGTGAGCTATTTCGTCTACCACAATACTTTGGATGGCATCGGGTGAGATGCGTGATTACTTTTATTTAAGTTTTTGCGTTTTAAGGAAGTTTTTTTTTTTTCTCTTCCAACAGCTTCTACTTTTTACGCTCGAAAAAATTTGTTGGCATTACACGCGATTACTTTCCTGTCGAAATACGGAAGACTGCAGAGCTTCCACCAAATCGAAATTATGTGTTAGCACATTTTCCACATGGAATACTTACGTGAGTTTTGAATATTATTAGGGTTAAGGCGTTAATTACACAGTGATACAAAAGTAAACAAAAAGGATATGCAGGGGTTCTCATATAGAAATTATGTTTTGTTATAGCCCATAGTATAGACACGACTATACTTATAGTTTTTCTTCATCACTTCGTTTATGAGTTTTTTACTAACAAATATTTAGTATTTTTCAAGTCGCAACTTCAAGAAGTTATAACTTTGTAGTTTTTTGGTCGAATTTCAACTTTGGTGCAATTTATAAAAACTGGCGCTGATTTTTATATTTATTTTTTTTGCAAACGGTCTTGCGGATTTTCTTCAAATCCATGTTTGTATGGAAAAATTTGTTTGCATTTTTCTAGAGTTTGTATTCATTTTGAAAGTGTGAATTAATTTTACGGTATTGGTTAACGAATGAAAACTATTTTTATAAAAAAATAACAAAACATTAACTTGAAAAACATTGTAAATATTTTTNAATCCATGTTTGTATGGAAAAATTTGTTTGCATTTTTCTAGAGTTTGTATTCATTTTGAAAGTGTGAATTAATTTTACGGTATTGGTTAACGAATGAAAACTATTTTTATAAAAAAATAACAAAACATTAACTTGAAAAACATTGTAAATATATAAACTAAATTTACCATGCACTCAGCTTTGATCGTCAGTGTAACTTTGTTTGTTGTTAGTTTTAGTTGTCCCCCGAAAGATACCCCTTTTTCTTTCTCGGTTGTGCCCCAAGTCCCTCAATGTGTTCTTATCTGTACCCCTTTCGGCATTTTAGGTCTGGCAACGCTACTCGAAAAGCATTATGAATATAAAAAAAAAAAAATCAACACGTGGTCTCTGTTTGAGGCACTGTAAATATTAAAGACATATTTCAGAAAGTCTTCGCGTGAAAAATTTCGATTTGACCNTGTACCCCTTTCGGCATTTTAGGTCTGGCAACGCTACTCGAAAAGCATTACGAATATAAAAAAAAATTAACACGTGGTCTCTGTTTGAGGCACTGTAAATATTAAAGACATATTTCAGAAAGTCTTCGCGTGAAAAATTTCGATTTGACAATTATACCACTTAATTTTAATAATTATTCTATTTATTCAAGGGGAACAGAACATGGTAACTTCTTTTTGGTTGTTTGTGTTTCCGACAGGGTAGGATTATGATGTATTGTGGATCGATTTTCCGTCATCCCTTGTCAAATTTGGTTTGGTTGAGCGTTGTGGATGACGGAAAATCGTTCCACAATTCATCAAAACATGGTACTCTAGATGGACTTATCCTGCTGCATTCATTGCAGATGACATACTGGAAAACCAGCAATATTCGATCACCCAGTTCGCAGAAATTTCAAACTATCTGACACGACCCATAATTCAACTTCCAAATAGTGTAACGTGGCCAGTGTACATTCGAATGCCCATAACTTTGATAGCAAAGGAATTATTAAACATTTTTTTTNCCGTCATCCCTTGTCAAATTTGGTTTGGAGACAAACCGATTTCGGCGTTGAGCGTTGTGGATGACGGAAAATCGTTCCACAATTCATCAAAACATGGTACTCTAGATGGACTTATCCTGCTGCGTTCATTGCAGATGACATACTGGAAAACCAGCAATATTCGATCATCCAGTTCGCAGAAATTTCAAACTATCTGACACGACCCATAATTCAACTTCCAAATAGTGTAACGTGGCCAGTGTACATTCGAATGCCCATAAATTTGATAGCAAAGGAATTATTAAACATTTTTTTTATTACAGAAATATAATACCTCCTAAAATTTTCTATTTTATTTCGTAATTGATTCATATTGTAAAAAAAAAATTATATACGAATGAAACGTTGCCAGTCAAATAATCGGCCATACCCGGTCGGAAAAGTATTTAGTAATGCATTACATGCGTGATAAATAATATAATGTATTCCTTATGTCGATTATATTATTGCTAACTAAGTAATCAACATTCTAATGTATTCAAAAAGTTCCAAAAATTTCATATTAAAACACATTCATTTCTCGATACTAGGTAATGCAAAATTGAATGCCCCACTTTTCTTAGGACATCGCCCTGGGGGAAAAATGCCTTTTCGAATGTGAAAAGGGTTGTTTTACCGATTTTTTTTTCGATTACTATACACTACATTTTTCCACTGGGTATGTTTGTATAACGAATAAAATATCGACAAGGAATTCGATAACCTCAAATTTATCGAGAATCGTAATATTATTGATATCTTTAGCTTTAATTGTAGATAGCGATTAAACATTTTATCAAAATTTGTGATTACTTTCGTTATCGATTTCAATATTATCATTTTCGTTAAATGTGTGGTTATAGATATATTTATGGTTATCAATAAGTTATATTTATCTAAAAAATTTCGATGTAGATAACGACAAAGAATTCGATAATCATCAATTTGTCGATAATGTAGTAGAATCGATATCGATAACACAATTTATCAACAATTTTCATAGTTTTAATTATCGATAACGATTAAAAGTGTTATCAAAATTTGTGATTGCCTTCGTTATCGATATCAATATTACGATTTTCCATAAATTTATGGTTATCGATATATTTATGGTTATCAATAAGTTATATTTATCTATAACAAAATTGCTTTTAGTATCGTTGATAAATTTTGGTATTTCTTAAAAAAATTATTCGAGCTCCACTGTAAATTTCGCACACCCCCTCTTATTTTTCAGCATCGCATTGGCGATAAATTTACTCCTCGACATAGAACCTTTTCTACGCTTATTCCCTGGTATTCGGCCCAAGGTCGCCACCTTAAATATCAACTTTGGCACACCATTTCTACGTGAAATGATACGTTTGTTTGGCTATATATCATCCTCTAAGCCAGCATTGCTACATTATCTACAAAAATCCAATGATCCAACACATCCCGACAATTCAGATGGTTACACATCATATATGGTGGCATTATCTGTAGGTGGTACGCAGGAAGCAATGCAAACTAGGCCTGGTGAATATCTTATTGTATTGAAGAAGCGCATGGGTTTCGTCAAATTAGCTATACAAACGGGGTGAGTAGGAAATTGAGTCACACAAAATAGTAAATATGAAGGCAAAAATAAAAAAAACGTATATTTTCAGATCACCAATAGTGCCTTCTTTTGGTTTTGGTGATAACGATATTTATACGCCTTTAGATAAAACGTGGTTTAGACCAGTACAAATGTTCTATAAAAAGTTGTTCCGCTATGCACCTATGCTCTTTAAGGGGCGTGCAAATACCGTTGTGCCATATAGAAAGAAAATAACGCTAGTGGGTAAGTACAGGGACTAGTTAATACTAATGCTTTAATTTTTCGCCAATTTATTCCTATGTTATCCTTTTCAGTTGGCAGCCCTATTGATGTAAAAAGAACTGCAAATCCAGATCCGGCATATGTCGAAGAGATACACGCAAAAGTTGTAGAGGGCGTGCGCCAGCTATT